CGACTTCTGTAGTCCTATTCAGCCACTTGGTAACAACCATCGTTTCTCAGACACGTCCACTCTTCAGAGATCTCCAGTGGGGTCACGGCTAGTGCTGTGTACCTGGACTCACATTCAGGTTCAGGTCCGGACTCAAGTCCAGAGGTTCAGGTTCAGGTGTCAAGTTGTGTGAGTAACTAAAGTGAACTTATTGTGAGCTAATTATCAATTGAAAATAAACTCATAATCAACTCAAATTCAAACTCGTCAGGTTTATTGTGCCCCCTTCCAACTTGTGTCTACACCATGTCTTCTCTAGAACTCTACATGTGTTACTAACTACACAACACAACTACATACATAGTGATGTACATACAAGACTCAATATGCAAGAGTACAAGTCTATGTGTTCTTGTTCAAGAACAACAGCATATTGACATTGTCTGGGTGAAGTGTTGCTCTTTCGGCAGACACTATATCACCATACATACAAAGGAGTTAGCTTAGCTACACTACCAAATATGGCAACCAGTATCCCACGCTGTCAGTGTCCACTATGTCTAAGCCAGCTTCCCTTGACGTCACACAGATCTCGCGAGCAGTTGCGATATTTTGCGAGACTTCGTGAGCTCAGTATCAGAAGCCAAAACAATGTTTTTAGTCTTTTTTCTCAGCGCAAATTTCTCGATCTATGGAAGGTTTTAGATGGTTTAGAACACAAAGGAGAATATACGTAAGTACCGGTTCCTGACGTTCCGTTTTAACCGGACTTGAACCGAAACTTTTTACNAAAACCCCAGTGGGGTCACGGCTAGTGCTGTGTACCTGGACTCACATTCAGGTTTAAGTCCGGACCTGAACCTGAACCTCTGGACTTGAGTCCGGACCTGAACCTGAATGTGAGTCCAGGTACACAGCACTAGCCGTGACCCCACTGGGGTTTTCTGAAGAGTGGACGTGTCTGAGAAACGATGGTTGTTACCAAGTGGCTGAATAGGACTACAGAAGTCGTGGAGGCCGTTGTACGTCATTACGCCGAACACGTAAACAAAAGCCTTTCGCCTGCCGTCTGTCTGCAGACTTGTCAAAGCATTAATTCATGTTTTTGACTAACCGGTATCAGTATGTAGTTATTCCGGCATTATTTTGAAACGTGTATTACAATTAAATCATGGTAAAATATGTTCATTTTGTTGTAGTCATCAATCTGCCAGCACCACACTCGACTGGTTGGTGACCACTGCTTTATAGCATAACGTTAGCATTTAGCTTCTGGCCATTCGATTTAGAACGTTATAAAAGTAGGGTAGACGTGTGGAGATTATCCGGCTGAACAAAACGTGCATTTATCAAACAGGTTCGTTTTCCACACACCTTATTTCTTACAATATTCCTAAATCCTCTGGAGAAATCCCGTTGCTTTCTGTCGAGGGAGCCAGCAGCTTCCTTCAGGGTCGAACTACAGAAACACGTCATCACTGCACCGCTCTATTGATATATCTTATAAACAAGATCAGCGCCACAGGACTCGGACTACATCTTTCTACAAACACACCCTGAAGATATATTTACAGTTTTGTAACTTGTATTCTCTCTGTGTTTCTTTCAGTTCATTGATGGGGAATTAAAGAGGATTTCCCATCATGCCTTGTGGTCCGCATCTCCAGGAAGGAATCGTCACGTCGGATCTACTCTGTGAATCTGTGAAGTTTACGCGTCACTAAAACTGACTATTTGGAAAGGGTCCTCTGGTGTTGGCTTCACACTTCAGCTTCATGTTTTACAATCGTCTGTCGATCTCATCCAGAATTAGGAAAATGTTCTTTATGTGATCAAATAAATCTGTGCTCTTTCTTCATATATATTATTTATGTAGATTTGGACACAGCGTTAGAAGAAGTGAAAATAACACGTTTTGTATTTCCTGATCTGACTTCATCATCATTTAGGAAGCTTGAAATGCAAATGAAGCACCAGTTTCAGAAGTAAAATGTGTAAACATGTTGTTTTACCAACATCAGAGGAGTCTTTTCTGCAAAATCACATGAAGATATTATTGTGGTTCATAAAATAAAGTTGTGACGATAAACGGTGAGATAGCAGCTGAAATATTACTCATTTATTCTTATTATGTTTGTCTTTATTTCCTCTTCTTCTCTGATTAATCTGCTGATTTATTGTTTAGTTTTGGTCTTGTTAATTTTATAAAAGTTCAAGAGCTCATGACGATGACTTGTCTTTTTGTTTCTTTCAAAACTCGCAGCAAATGAGAAAGATTAGGAGAAAAACTTCTAACAATTATTAAACGGCAGGGTCTCAGTCAGTAGGGGCTTGGACTGGGAGCCGTAGGGTCGCCGGTCCAAGTCCCTGACAGGACCTAAATATGGAGTGTGGACTGCTACTTGGAGAGGTCCCAGTTCACCTCTTGCCCTGCCGTGGTGCCCTTGAGCAAGGCACCGGACACCCCCCTTCCCCCCCACTCCCATTGCTCCCCGGGCGCTGTACACTAGCTGCCCACTGCTCCTGGTGCTAGACTCCTGGTGCTAGACTCCTGGTTCTAGACTCCTACTACTAGACTCCTGTTGCTAGACTCCTGGTTCTAGACTCCTGGTACTAGACTCCTGTTGCTAGACTCCTGGTACTAGACTCCTGGTTCTAGGCTCCTGGTGCTAGACTCCTGGTACTAGACTCATAGTTCTAGGCTCCTGGTTCTAAACTCCTGGTACTAGACTCCTGGTTCGAGACTCATAGTTTTAGACTCCTGGTACTAGGATGGGTTAAAAGCAGGGAACACTGCACTGTGGCTCAATCACGAGTAAAACTGCTGTAGAGCAACTATTTCAAGTATACTACGTCATCGAGTGGCGCCGAAGGACTGTTTAAATGCCCAGCATTCTGCGTCACTCTATGACATAGTATACTTGAAATAGTTGCTCTGCAGCATGGATACCCTGTATCAAGATTGATGCAAAACAAGTTAAATCTGACCCTTTTCTAGAGGTTTAGCAAAAAAAACTCCACCTCTGAGGTGATTTGGGTGGAAATGGGGGTTTTACCATTTCTCTGGAACCCATTGGTCGATTTTGGTGATTGACATCTCTTTCTGACCGTTAGAGCCAATAGAATCGAAGGGGAATCTCCCCACACACACGCATGGTAAAACAAAAAGGTGGGGGCTTCGCGCACGCAGTTTTGCCCCAGAGTGAAGCTAACCCTAGGTCTGACATCTCAAAACGGAAAAGCAGATTTATTGCTCATGGATTATCAGAAATCATTCAAAGTGACACAGACACATTGTATTAACCTATGGATTAACTTCAGCAGCGTTTTTATCGTTTTAATGCCATTAAAGACCACTTTTGACCAGAATACAGCAGAGGTGAGCCATGTTAGCGTTTCTAGCTACCTAGCTCCATATGTTTTGATGTGTGTTCTTGTTATTATCTCTGAGAGTTCGTATCATTGAGTGATAATGAGGGTACCCCTCGATTCTGTGTCACCTCACGATGTGAAACGATGGGTTGGATGTGCAGCAAAGATACATAATAAGGTTTTTTGAGTGAATTTCGGTGCAGTCATCTGTTAGCATTTTTCGCTCGTTGCTAATTCAGAGGCTCAGCGTTAGCATTGTGGGGGGGGGGTTTTGGATAAAAAATTAAAATGATCAATAAGATGAGTTTCTTTCCGTTACATTGATATAAGACATTCATAGTTTATTAAATGAACATGCCCTCAGACACTGTTTCCTGCAAGATGTTGCAGGAGGCCCCCAGTACCGGGGTCTCTCGGCCTTAACAGAGGGTTTCATCTCTCCTATCTATCTAAAACAATTTTTATTTTTTTTATTGTACATTTATTTCAAATCGGAGCAAAAGGGACGACGATGACGCAAATTGTTTAGCTTTTTCAGAAATATATATACATTTTCAAAAATATATTTATTTCGACAATTTTTCAAATAAAAACTTTTTTTACAATATTATTTATTCGAAAAATGTTCAAGTTCAAATTAAGGAATTTCTTTGTATTTTTCCAAAATACANGTGTGCCTTGGCAGTCTCAGCAAATAAAAACGTTTTTTACAATATTATTTATTCGAAAAATGTTCAAGTTCAAATTAAGGAATTTCTTTGTATTTTTCCAAAATACATATAAGTTTTTTTAGAATTGTATATATCTTTTAAAATATATTTCTATCGAACATTTACATCCCCAAAATAAATTCTGATTTTTTAAAACTTTTTTTGAAATTATTTTTAAATGTTCCAACAACTTTTTTTAATTTTCAACTTTTTCAGAAATATTTTGTATTTTTTAAATTGAATTGATTTATTTAAAACAAGGGACAGTGTACATTAATCAACATATTAAAAACATGTAAATATACTCGAATGAGCCAAAAGGCTAGTTTTCACCGATAGTCCCTTTGCCAGATGGTGATAGGCATCCTACAAGCAAGAATACAAGTACCATTACATTGTTATACAAAAAAAAAGTACATATTTACAATAGACGACATCACTGAATACAGGTAAGGAGCAAGTCATGATAATAAATAAAACATTCACAATACGCTCTCAGCATCAGTGCTGACGCTGTTGGTTATCAATGAGCCACTTTTGAACACTGCTTGAATGAGTAGTGGTGGTATTGAATTCCATTGATGAGATGCGTTGAATGAAAAGAGCCTGACAAAATGGGATGGTGCAGTCTCCCCTAGCCGCACTTCTAGTGTTAATAAATGTTATATTTATTTTTTTGTGAGTTTCTAGAATAACCCTTTTCAATTTTTCTTACCTTTTTCAGGTTTCTTTTTTTTTATACTATTTCTTTCGATAATATTTTCATTAAAAAAAAATGTTTTTCTTTTTCGAAAGTTTTATAATTTAGCAAATTATGGAATTTTGTGTTCTTTTTCAAAAATATCTAACCTTTTTCAGAAATGTATATATTTGATTTGATACATTTAATTTGACAATTTAAAAAAGAAAAAATCCATAACCTCTTTTTAAATGTCATTACAATGTTTTCATAATATTTAAAAAATAAAATAAAAAGTATATCCCCTCTTACGAGAACCATCATTTCCATCTGGGATAATGTGAGTATTCCCTCAGCTGTAAACAAAACACTCGCTATGTCTACACATTTTAACGCAGGTTTGTTAAACGCTACACCTTATAAAGTGCAATAACGCCATGTGTTTTTATAACTCCCACAGAGCACGATGCGTTCAGGAACATCGTCAGCTGTGTGGGAACTCGTGTTTGTGCAACACTTCAGTAAGCATCTCATTAGTTAAGCCTCACACTCAACATTGACTCATGATCGTTAATAACCACGCGCTGAACACACTCTTATCTTTGATCCTGCTGCAAAACACTTGTTTGACTTTCGAGATTGGAAAAAAACGGACTCACAAAATTATTAAAAATCTGCACATATGGAAGTTTTAATTCCCGTTATGTCTTGAATTACTTTACGTGTCGTGAAAAATAAGCAAGTCCTTCCAAGTCCCTCTCCTGTTGTGTGTTCTATTGGGTTTAGTGCATGTAAATGGTCTGCAGAGGCTGAAATCCCTCCAGAGGGAGTTTGTGGAAATGTAAAATATTTTAGAAAAATTCCCTAAAATCTGAAAGTATAGTTAGAAGAAAATTGAAAAATCTGAGTGGAGTTATTAATTTTTTTATTTTTAAATGTGTAGTTTTAGTGAATAAATAATAATACAAATGAAGAAATTGACTTCTTCATTTAACCTTTTAACCCCTTTCTGACACGAAGCTAACCCCGATGTCAGATTTACATCCAGTTTCCACTTTGTTCCTCACCTTCTTTAATTACCTCCCCTTCTTCTTCTGCAATGTTTTCATGGTGTTCCACCTCCTGCTTATCCCCATGAACAAACTCCCAATAATCTCATAACGTTAGAGGATGACAACAAGCTTTCCTTTGACGACTTTTCGAGTCAAATTGGTGCAACATTACGACGGTAAGACCACACGACTAAATGACTTGTCTCTGTGCAGAAACCCTGTTTGCAACCTCCTCCATCGGTAGTCCTTGAATGCAACACAACATTTAAAAACCAGAAATGTTAAGATAGAAAATAAACCAAAGACATTTTTTTAACATTTACTCCTTTTAACATCCAAAAAGCTGCATATTTGTGGCACTTTAGCTCCTTTTCCATCCGTCATGTGACATCATATCTGCCCTCTACTTCCTCTCCACAGGGTTACAACCTTTATATATACAGTCTATGGTTACAACCCTGTGGTTACAACACACACACACACACACACACACACACACACACACACACACCCACACACACACACACACACACACACACACACACACACACACACTCTAACAAAGATAAGATGGCTGCCGAGTTATTTATAGCTCTGAGAGCAGAGAGGCTACTGCAACCTACAAATCTGCAGAAGGGAGGGAGGGGGAGGAAGAATGGAGGGGGGCGGCCATTGTTTCTGCCTCAGCGAGCTGTCGACCTCCATGTTGAGAGGCTGTTCTTCTACATCAGACAGAGGAAGGGGGAGGGCAGGTTTAGATCTTAAGAGGGGAGGAAGGAGGAAGGAGGGGGGAGGTGAATATACATGCAAGTTTAAAAACAAGGTGGCATAAAAAGGGGGGCTGGGATAAGAAGGGAGCGTGTGATTGGCTGCTGCCCGTCCTCAACACCTCGCAGCCGGCCAATCAGGAGCCTGCGCTGCGTTTGAAAGATGCCAACAAGGAGGAGGTTCAAATGAGGAGGAAGGGGGGAGGAAAGAGGAGACAGAGATGATGAATGTGCTGCTGAGTTGCAGCCGCTGCAAGAAAAACAAAATCCACATTTTCAGTTTTTAACTCAAAGAAACTTCGACGCTGCGACACGGCGTGAGAGCTGCAGAAATAATGCGCCTGTTTGAAGGAGTATCACATGTCGATCACATGTCGTATCACATGTCGTGTTTATTCGACCGACATGCTGCGAACACGCCCCCAGGGACACGCGCTCTCAACACGTCATCAATTAAAGATATCAGTGAAATGTGACTCCTCCTCTAGTGGCGGCTGGGGGAACTGCAGCCTCATTACCAGAGGAATACTTTAAATAAAATAATATATAAATAAATGTGTATATATAATAAAATATATAAATAATTAAAATTAAATAATGTATAATAAAATATAGAAAATAATTCATAAATAATATATAATAAAATACAAAT